GACCCCGGGGAAGACCTAGGACACGCTGGAGAGACTATGTCTCCCGGCTGGCCTGGGAACGCCTCGGTGTCCCCCCGGAAGAGCTGGAGGAAGTGTCCAGGGAGAGGGAAGTCTGGGCATCTCTGCTTAGACTGCTGCCCCCGCGACCCGGCCCCGGATAAGCGGAAGAAGATGGATGGATGGCACTCCATTCATATGGACTAGTTTTACAATCTCTTTATGAACTTTTTGAAGTGTCAAAGTGGTACTCGCGTAGCTGTCTATGGAGGGACAGAAAGCTCTCAGATTTCATCAAAAAGATCTTCATTTGTGTTCCGACGATGAACAAAAAGTCTTACGGGTTTGGAACGACAAGAGGATGAGTAATTAATGACAGAAGTTTCATTTTTGGGTGAACTATCCCTTTAAACCTCTTTATACTGGACCTTTAATGACAACCCCAAGCTACTGGTTGGATGAAAGTTAAATTTTAGATTGTGTGCTGTTGTGGGGAAGGGCAATTACTTTGCTGTGTTTGTTCTTTCCAGCAGTACGAAGAATGTGATGCTGCTTAGTGCTTAATTATAACTCTCATTCGTTTCAGACCCAAAGTACATCACTATCTCCCGAGAGAAGATGACAGATGCTTTCAGTAGCAACAGTGAGGCAGTTCTTCAGCGCACTGTCAATGTGTCCACCATCACAAGCAGCCATGCTGGAAATTTGATGCAGCTGTATCAAATAGCTGAGACATGTCATTTTGTTACTAGTAATCAATTCACAAAGGCAAGACAACATCTTTAGAAATCATCTGTCATGTTTACTGAAACCATTTGTCCAGCTGATCTATTAAAGATATAAATATGTCCTGTTTTTATCACAGGTGGCCTTACAGTTTCCAGATGAACTACTCCCTGATGCCGTCCGGGTCTCTGCAGAAATAGAGAATGAAACCAAAGCCAAGACATACATTTTAGGAGATACATCTTATGGCAGGTAAGAACCCTGTTGTTTCATTTACATTACAAGAAAATCATATGTAATACCACAATGTTACCACTAAATGCCTATATAGCCCTACATATTTTATATTTTTAAAGGGTTAGTTCGCCCATTTAAGACATGAAGTTGTATGCAATCCTTACCAGCACTATAGTGCATACACACTGACCCACTCTGTGGTCACCTCCCTGGTCAGAGTTCTGGCCGCTGGAAGTTTTTCAATAAAGTACTCCCGGTTATTTTCCGGGGTCACAAAACTGTGCGTTTTTACGTGAAAAAGTGATTTGCGTTTCAAAGCTTGATTAATTTACCACACAAAAAACACGCCGGTCAAAATTCATACCTCAGTTTTAATCGGCACTATTTTCTATCCATTTCTATCAATCCGCGCTGCTGTCAACGTCAACAGTGAGCACGTTCCGATCAGCTGTTGATAGCGCGACTCGCTGACAACATGTCTGACTGCGAAACTTCTGATGATGAAACCAATTTTAGCACAATGTCAGACGGATCAGATGATGAAAGTAATTTTAGCACAACGACAATGTTATTGATTGCAACACCAAACCTCAATTGTGTGTGTGTTCAATCAAATAGTTTTCTCAGCAAATTGTACCAATATCCCTATAGGCTATACTGTTTTTATATAGACATCTTTTCACATGTTTTATAATTGAGTCTAAACATCAGCTTGTTTACCGTACAGTTTAGACATGGGATCATAAAGTTAGTAAATAGAGCTTACCCGTGGTACTGGTACAGCAAAACTCTTTAATTTTCCTTTTCCTCCTTGGTTGTAATCGTCTTCGCTGAAGTGAGCACTACACACACGAAAATCCTTTATTCTGGATATTTTAGCTCCCGCAGAGTAGCCGATGGCAACCAGCCAAAGCTGTCTCATAGTTATATTCGAAACAGGAAAACGATGGAATCTGAACTTTGATCCCGGCACATCCTTGTGGTCACAGCCTGGGAATTTACAAGTTCGCACCATTGTTAATTTAATACTTTTTACGTCGTTGTCAATCGATTGTGTAAACACTATGGAACAGCTGATCGGAACGTGCTCACTGTTGACGTCGACAGCAGCGCGGATTGATAGAAATGGATAGAAAATAGTGCCGATTAAAACTGAGGTATGAATTTTGACCGGCGTGTTTTTTGTGTGGTAAATTAATCAAGCTTTGAAACGCAAATCATTTTTTCACGTAAAAACGCACAGTTTTGTGGCCCCGGAAAATAACCGGGAGTACTTTATTGAAAAACTTCCAGCGGCCAGAACTCTGACCAGGGAGGTGACCACAGAGTGGGTCAGGGTGTATGCACTATAGTGCTGGTAAGGATTGCATACAACTTCATGTCTTAAATGGGCGAACTAACCCTTTAAGACTTTTCTAATCATGTCCATATTTTTGTGTATTTATATAGCAAGTGCCATAAAAAGTACCAAGTTTCCTACCATTCTGATGAAACATAAATTGTAAAAATTCGAAATTATTACCAAAAAATATTGTGTGGCTAATTCTGACTTCCAGACCTGTTTATTTCCTTTTCAGCTGTTGTGTGGATGAGGTAGCAGCAGAACATGTAAGAGCAGACTGTATAGTGCATTATGGGCCATCTTGCCTCAGCCCATGCAGACGACTACCTCTTCTGCATGTGTTTGGGAAAAGACCTATAGATGTCCAGCAGTGTGTTGCAGCCTTTAAAGAGCTTTACCCTGACCGCCAAAGTCATGTGATCATACTGTATGATGTCACCTATTCACATGCTATAGGTAATTGTTACTGTTCAATCTATGCACATGGGTGTCCAATCCTACTGCTGGGGGCGAGTGTTGTGCAGAGTTGAGCTCCAACGTTCCCCAACACACCTGCCTTGAAGTTTCTCGGGCTGTATCCGAAATTGTCCCCGATTCACTATTCCCTATCAGTCCACAAATATAGTACTCTTAAAAGAGTGAATAAAAACAAGCAACTTCAAGTGAATATTTTACATTTAATGGGTTTGACTGACAAAAAAGTTTCAGTTGTACACTCGTTATTTCAGTGCATTATGAGATTAAATAATTATGGTTTCAGACACCAATACACCAATGGCTGTCCCATCAAATAGAGCTGCTTCAGGTGTGATTCATTTGGATTGGAGCTAAACTCTGTAGGTTTGTGGCCCTGCAGGACACCTCTGATTTAATACCATTGTGAATGTTGTGTGTTAATTTATATCGTCTGTCCTCAGGTGATCTCAGGACGCTTTTGTGTGATATCTACCCCAATGTTGCGGTATCTCTTCTAAAAACAGATTATTCCTGCGGTGCTGAACTGATACAGGACAGCTGTGTGAACAGTGATCACTTGAATTCACAGGATGATAGAGTCATTTTTAAATTTGGCAGACAGTTTAGTGTAAAAAAGGGGCAGAGTGTTGATGATTACAGTATGTTTTACATTGGCCAGGAAGGCCTGACTCTGACAAACTTCATGATGACCTGGAACCATTGTGCCTTCAGCTCATTTAATCCAGAAACGTGTACAGGACAAGTGGAATCGGTTAAAATCAACAAGGCACTGATGAAACGCTATTATGCCATTGAGCGGGCTAAAGATGCCAGTGTGGTGGGCATTTTGGTGGGCACCCTGGGCGTCGCTAATTATCTGACCATCATAGAGCAGCTGAAAGACATTATTCACAAAGCAGGCAAGAAGAGCTATATGTTTGCTATGGGAAAGATCAATGTTCCCAAGCTCGCTAACTTCTTGGAAGTTGATGTTTACGTGCTGGTTGCCTGTCCAGAGAACTCACTGCTGGATTCAAGTGAATTCTACAGACCTGTGGTGACTCCCTTTGAGATGGAGTTGGCTTGCAATAAGCAAAGAGAGTGGACTGGAGAATATATCACAGACTTCAGAGATTTACTGCCTGGTATGACATTGCATCATTATAACAAATCATACTATAGAGCACTAGAAAAGCATTGTGATATTGATATTGATATTGTGTTGCTTATTGGCTTTAAATGATGTCAGTATATGTGTCCATATGTAGTATCGTTCTGAGCATCTAATGAGAAACCTTTATTATAGATGGAAGCAGTCATGTGGTTTTCCCTGAACCAAACGAGTCTGTCATTGAGGAAGAGAGCACAGATGTCTCTCTTATCACAGGAGCTCTGCGAGCCTGTTCCACCACCTCATCTGAGATAATAAATGGCACAGTCTCTTCTTCACTTGTGCCCAGGAATCAGACTCTCACTGTGGCCAATACTAACACTGCAGGTAAAGAGTCTGAGGCCATAATGAACTGTAGTTGCGGTAGTAATTCTGCCACCTTTTTAATAAAACGTTTGATTCATGCAAATGCAGAATATAATGAGGATCTTTTTGTTTTGCAGCATCATTTTTGGCTGGCCGTAGTTGGCAGGGACTGGAGCCCAAACTGGGGCAGACGCCAGTGTTGAAAGCTGTGGAGGGACGGAGAGGCATTGCAATCGCTTATGAGGAGGAAGGTGTGGGTAATAAAGATCCTTTAACATCTCCTCAAAAATCATAACACTCACACTTACTATTAGACTGTCACAGGAAATCATCTAAGGGCTATCTTCACACTCAGCACATGAATCACATCAGTATTTTGAAGAGGATTTAATTGTCAGTAATAAAACATTTTTTGGGGACATGTTTTTAAGTCTTGATAATAGCAAGTGTTTCTTTTGCTGCTGTTCAAATATCAAGGTAAATTCATATTTGTTAAATATAAGAATGTGAAGTTCTATTGTGCTACTATATGGTAGCAATCTATGGAATAATAAAGAAAAATGTAACTGATGTCAATGTGCTTTAATCTTGTCTTGTTTTAAATGTTATATTAAAACAGAATAAAACATATTTTTCTGGATTTGTTAAACTATGACCTCAATGTACGATCTGGTCTGATATGGTCTGACATACTATACAATCAAAGTGGGATGAGCATGAGCAAGCTCTGGCCTGAGTTTAACAAAATGTAGAAAAAAAAAAAAGACCTGAAAATACTGTTTAAATTTAAGCATGCCAAATATGTGTAAAACAACACATTAGTTGTAACTATTGGTTGAACATTCATTTACATTTCTGATCCCCATTAAGTGCTTTGACAAAGGTTGATGGGAATATGCCAATCTTCCCGTTGCATTGACCTTCAAGCCACTCATCATTGACTGAAAATGAAAGAAAAATCAGAAATTCATCTCAAGAATGCCTTAGTTCATAGTCATACTGTATTTTATGTCCGTATTAGTGAAATGAGTATCACAGTGTCAGTTCCTACCTTTTGAAAGAATTGTGATGATGTTTCCCTGTTTGAAACCCAGATCCTCTGGGGTAGTAGAGTCATAAGAGTAAAGAGCAACCACTTTCTCATGAGGCACACTTTTACCCTTTCGGACAGCAGTTTTGGGAAGGGCCAGAAAAGAAATGTTAGGGTTTAGTTACTGGCAAAGCTGTTTTATGTTAATATTACTATTTGTAAGGTATAGTTTACATTCAGCTGTTATATGACTAAGCTATATTATGTGTTCATTTGATCCCGTGTGAGGGTAGTTGAGTCAAGCTCTGTCAAGTCTTACCTCTGTCACTGAACACCACAGCGTAAGACGGCCATCCTTCACACTATTCCACACAGCCTCCATTTCAGAGTCCTCAATAATCACCCTCTTATCCGAGCCTTCCTTGGCATAACTGAAAGGTACATTACAACCACATTTTATTTCTCGCTGAAATATGTTAATACAGTGCTGGGAATGTTATAACTGGTATAGTTACCGTAAAATTAACGTTGACGCAGGCAGCTTCAGTTTAGAGCTTATCATCTGAAGAATGACTCCATATGGTTGTCCAGGTGCAATGCTGATAGCAATGGTGAACTGAAAGTGTACTTTCACAACGCAGCCTGAGAATTCACTAGCGTTACTAGTCTGTGAGGAATATAGTCGAACTTGAGAATTAATTCCTACATCTAATAAAAGTTGGCTATGGAAGCATTGTTTGATAGTTATGTTAGTTGATATCAGGTTACAGTTAATAGACTGTGATTATGTTGTGAGTATGTAATGAAATACTGAACCTCTCCAATCACAGTTTTCAGGCCGTCTGTACCCACTGGTCTACTAGGTGCTGCTCTTCTTGGTGGAGCTGGTATATCATCATTTTCATTTACTGGTTCAATCTAGAAGATGTCGATTTTTTTATTTTTATAATGTAGGACAAAAAAAGTACTTTAGCTCAATTAAACGGGAGTAGCTTTTGAACATGGATCTCAACAACAACATCTAAGTGGTTTGAGTTATAAATCTATATACAGTTCATCTCTGTGCACCTGTATTTTGGTATTATGATATTAGTACCTTTTGCCGTTTTGGAAAACTGCATATTCGTTCAAAAGACAATTACCTGTACTGGTTTTGATGTCATTGTAACAATATCCAAGGGTTCAAGGAAATTATAAGGTACAAGACCTCGCTGGAAATAACCAGAAAACAAAACAAAAAATTAAACAGAAAATAGGGCATTATTCTCTCTGCTTATACACTCACTGGCCACTTAGGTACACCTTGTTAGTGCCGAGATGGGCTGCCTTAAATCTTCATGGTATAGATTCAACAAGGTGCTGGAAACATTCCTCAGAGATTTTGGTCTATATTGTCATGATAGCATCATCCAGTTGCTGCAGATTTGTGGGCTGCACATCCATGATGCGAATCTCCCGTTCCACCACATCCCAAAGGTGCTCTAGAATTTTGATGTTTTGAGCTTTCTGACATGGCGTGTTACCCTGTTGGATGTAGCCATCAGAGGATGGGTCACTGTGGTCATAAAGGGATGGATATGGTCAGCAACAATACTCAGTTCAGCTGTGGCATTTAAACGATGCCCAATTAGTACTAAGTGGCCCAAAGTGTGCCAAGAAAACATCCCCCACACCATTACACCACCAGCATGAACCGATGATACAAGGCATGATGGATCCATGCTTTCATGTTGTTTACGCCAAATTCTGACCCTACAAACTAAATCAGACCAGACAACGTTTTCCTGATCTCCAATTTTGGTGAGCCTGTGTGAATTGTAGCCTCAGTTTTCTGTTATAAGCTGACGGGAGTGGGACCCGGTGTGATCTTCTACTGCTGCATCTGCTTCAAAGTTCGACGTGTTGTGCGTTCAGAGATGCTCTTCTGCAGACCTCGGTTGTAACGAGTCCTTATTTGAATTACTGTTGTATTTCTATCAGCTTGAACCAGTCTCGCCATTCTCCTCTGACATTAAGCCATTTTCGCCCACAGAACTGCCGCTCACTGGATATTTTCTCATTTACCATTTGTGCGTGAAAATCCCAGTAGATCAGTTTTTGTACTATCTGGCACCCACGATCGGTCACTTAAATCACCTTTCTTCCCCATTCTGATGCTCAGTTTTAACTTCAGCAGATCATATGTCTATTAGTTGCTGCCATGTGATTGACTGATTAGATATTTGCATTAACGAGCAGTTGAACAGGTGTACCTCATAAACTGGCCGGTGAGTGTATGTTGATATTAGCATGCCACTGGAATGTTCTTTTGACATTGAACTCCAGCTCTCAGGTCTGTTCTCATTTACTGGCCTCTATGATAATTCACCAAAAATGTACCTTCTCATTGAAAACAACGAATGCCCAGTTGTCTGCTCCTTTCTGAAGAACAAAGACAATGTTTCCAGGCAACACAGCCAGCTCTTCTTTGGTCTCAGGAACAAACTCATAGAGAACAGTGTGTGGCACACCTTCAAATACCCTGTTGATTATGACATTTACATTTACTGTCTTAAAGGGATAGTTCACCCTTTTTTTCAAGTCAACGACTACTGTCAAATGTTTGGTTACCTACATTCTTCAAAATATCTTTTGTGTTCAGCAGAGGAAAGAAATTCATTCAGGTTTGGAACAACCTCAGGGTGATGACTGAATTTTCATTTTTGGGTGAACTATCGCTTTAACAGACACTTGATATACACACAACAAAATAATACAAAAACTCCCCAAACTGCATATAGCTTATATTTAAGTTTTAGAGAGTTTGAGGTTTATATGCATTAAATAATGTTCTTCATTTTGAACATGACCTTAAATTATATTTACCTTAGTACTTCTGGGACTTTTGGTGTGGAAGGAACATTGTCAACCTAAACAATACACAAATTATGTGGTCATTAAAATTGTTTGAGCATTAACATATCTTCACACCTCTCTCAGTTATTCTTATTACATACTACTGTTAGCTCAATTATTTTGTTAACTCACTTGTTAACAACACTACTTACTTGAGGCTGAAGTGGAGCAAAACCAGAAAACTGATCTGCGGGTACAATAGAAGATACAACCTATGAAAAAAAAAACACTAGTCTTAATCAGTTTTGTCAAATTTAATGGCCAAATAGAAAAGGGGTCGTTTCAGTAACTGGACAAAGGTTTTAGTGATTGCACACTGTATTAATTTGATAATGGCGGGTACCTTGGCTTTTCCAAGATAGTCCTTTTTCTCCAGCTCTGCCACATAGTGCTTATTGGGTTTGAATATCAGCCCTACTCGAATCTCTACCAGAGGAAAGAGCTTCTGCTTCTGGAAAGAGGAAATCACAATGTGTAGACCTTTTAAAACAATGCATCAAGACAACCACAGCATACAAGTCATGCTGTGTTGCACTTTACTCATCAGCGTAATATAACTGATTTTAATTTTGTTTTTAAGGTTAACTTTTAAGGTTATCCTGATGCAACAGTTTTAAAATATGTCATTTGAAATGCTTTATATTAAAAAGCTTACAAAGAATGACACATGCCCACTGATGAAGCATGACTTCATCTGTCTTTTTTGAATTTTGTCCTTCCTGAAACTTACACCACTTCCTACAAATCCTAACTAGAACCACTGATTATGCAACAAATTATGCAATTTAACCCATTTTTAGTTAGGAAAACTGCAATATGTTACAAAAGAACAACAGCACACGTGAGAGCACACTTTAGATTTGAGATAAACTTCAGAACTGGCTTTATATAAAAAAATTTTTTAAACTGCATCCAGTGTGGAATTAATTATTCAGTTCATCCATTTAGGGTGGCAACTTTATACGGCTGCATTTCTTTCAGTAATTTTCATTAATATGAATTTAGGTTTAAAATTCTAGTACTGATGATTATGTAAAGTGGAAGACTTTAGCAGTTACAGACCAGTATGGCATCCAGAGCATGGTCAATGTGGCTGAATTTGGCGTCTGCCCTCAGGCTCAGAGCAGTAAGAAGATTTTCTTGAGCTTTCTCCCATTTTTCCAACTGAGCCTGTACCAGCCCTATGTTGTGCAGCACCTAAATGTTACATGGGACAAAAACAGCAGCATCAGAGAATGAACTGGGAGCGTGTTGGTTCGACTTTTGCTTTAACATTATGGGGGGAAAGCCTTGCCAATGATAAAGTCATGCTAAATACAGTACGTGTTAAATGAGTCATCAAGTGCATCACTTGGAATAAATCATGAGTGAATGAGTCATTCACATCACATCTATTAGTGTATCAAAAACAATAAGGGTGAAAAACAAGATTCTATGCACATTGTTTAATGCATGGCACAACTCTCGTCTTACCTCACAAGCATACAGTTTATATCTCAACCCCAGAGGTTTGTAGTCTATTAGTTGATTTCCTCTTAACTGCTTAAACGCCTGTTGGAAATCTAGAAGAGACTCTTCAAACCTGTAGATACAATTATGAAGATGAAGAAGTGGCAGGACATTTCATCAAGAGAAACAGAATGTGCTGGGTTGTCCCTTATGCAAAAGAAAATATATTTTCTTACATTTAATGATCAATATATTACATTTTGTAATGTATATTGAAAATATAATGAATAATATATTGAGTTAATATATCACAATAAATTAAAAAATACATAAGGAATTGCCGCTTTTCATATATTGAAAAATGTGACAATATATTTACTTATATATCGCAATGTATGTAATTTTATATGCATTAATATCATTCATAATATATAGATGTACATGAGATAAAATGTGGTACTGTGTGTGTGTATGAACATATAGCCATATTATCCAAGTTTGTCAAGTGATTCCCTGTTTGTCATGTGATCCTGCCATGTGTCTTGTCATTGGTTAATCGTCTGTTCATTGTTCACAGATGTCCCTTGTCTTGTCATTAGTCTGTGTATTTAAGCCCTCATGTTTGCCATGTGTCTTTGTCAAGTATTGTTTCCTGTGATCCTCTGTTGCGTAAGTTTTTGTCCACGGTTTTGTTTCATGCCACGTCATGCTTTTGTTTTATCTTATGTCTAAATAAACTGCACTTGGGTTCTCTCGCTACAACTTGCCTTCAGTGGATATCCTTACACCTATGTACTATATATTTACATTTATATGGGAACATGTATTCCCAATATATGTACTCAATTATGAGGAAAATATATATTGTGATATCCATGTATTTATTTATAGTACATAAAGCACAAATCTAATTTTCAACCGACCATGTTGCCATGTATTAACAAGACATCCAATTGTCCAGAAAACCTAAACTTTTAATTTGTTTTCAATAAACACTTTTTTTCTTATATATTACATCACACATATTTTCATATATGAAATGTGTAACTATTCAAACAATAAAGTGAGAATGTGTTTAGCTTTATGAAAAAACAAGTGTTAACTCTTGAAAGATAAATTAATTGAGTGTTTCAATAAAGCAAATGACATGTAACTAAGACATGTAAAACCTAAGTGCGGATTTTGTCTTCACTGCTATCTGTATATTTTATATATATATATATGTATATAGCCATACATGGTCATGGTATGTATTAAAATAATATAAGCACTAGTTTTCCATTTATGGAAATGTATTATTTAATATATTGCACAATATTTTCCAGTATATTCCTATATATTTTTGTTTGGTAAGGGGTGGTCCCCTTTTTTGAACTATAATAAAAGCATACAATATTTCTTAATGTGTCATGAAGAGATGGTAATGGCCTTACCTTTCCTTTTTGTAGAATGCAACTCCTCTCTGAAAAAAGGCCACCGCTAGGTGTTGATCTTTGCCAATACTTCCATCAAATGCCTTAAGATGTGTGACAGAAATAAAAGTTTCCCGTAAAGAGTGAAACCACTTTTACTTCCCTTTTTTACAGCCATGCACAAACTTTTTTTTTTAAATAGTAAAAACATCTTCAAATCAATTTAAAGAGCATATCCTGATTGTTGTTTTCTTAACTAGTATAAAACACTGAATCTGCCCGGTAACTGTACCTTTTCAGCTTCATCTAACTCATCGTTGTTCAAATAAAGACAGCCAATGTTGAAGGCAATCTTGGAGTTTTTCTCCTCGATGTTGAGGAATATCCTGAGAGCAGAGTCTGGGTCTCTTTGCTCCACGCAAGCCACGGCCTCGTCCCACTGACGGAGAGTGCTTACAAATGACATGCTCCCTCAGAAGACTTAGCAATGCACAAATTAATGCTGTACTTCTCTATTGTGAGCCCAGTAGAGGGAATCTGAAAGTTTTCTTAGAGAACAAGCCCATCCCCTCCTCTGAGAGAGAGGAAGTGATCAGCTTCACGTCACTTGCTTTTTTATTTGTTGTTTCCTCACTTGCCATTTGAGTAAGTTCACTTTTTTTTGGTGTAAGGCATACTTATTAATAAGTTAATCTAACAAAAGGTAGCAGGCTCTTATTTTGTTATGCTTTTAAGAGTGAGGCATGTTTTGTCTCTACACAAAGAGTGCTGTGGCGTCATGGTACAATGATTGTATCAGATGGTAATATAGCATGATACATGACACATTCACATACCGTGGGACTAATTGATTACCAATAATGTACTTTGGTATTTAGATGGTATTCCAATGCTAATAAAAAAATCTAACAACAGCATGTCCGAAAAATCAGGGTCATTATTATAGACAGGCATGACAGGCACTTTCTGATTAAGGTTAAGCCTTTACCAAAAAGAGGTTTGCTGGTTCTTCATGTAAACATGATAATCAGCATATTTTGCTGCAAGATAATTCAATCAATGCAATGTCCTTGACAATAGCACACAAGCAAGAATTCAAAACATGGGCCATGAGAGCTTCTATTGATTTGTTTATTTCATTCCATTTCTTTTAACTACAGTAGTATCCTAAATGTCTTTCTGCGATAGCTTGTCTTTGCAGAAAGACCTGTATAGCACCCAGAATCTTTGAGAAGGACAGACAGATATTATGAATATTCTGTTATGGATATTCCTAAAAAGGAATACATGACCCAAAAGTAATACTGCTGGTTTAGATAATGGCTTAATCCAACAGCATTTGGGATAAAGCATTTGCATGACATATTGGAATATGGCCATTACTTATATTGATCATATATATCATTGGGGTACAATATTAAGATTGTCCTATTTAGTTGACCGATATGGGGTTTTACATGAATTATTCATAAATAATTACTTCTGCCACCCCAATCATCAATATGTTGCTACAGTCTCACAAATAAAATATTATTAGCATGATACCATGTTATCATACTAATATATGAAACATCATCATGATACCATACCAACAGAGGAGGACAAAGTACACAACTTCCTTACTTGAGGGAAAGTACAGATACTACTGGTCGTCAAGTATTACTCCATTACATGTAAAAGTTGTAAAGACCTATTTTTACTTAAGTAAAAGTACAGACGTACTCATTTTTAAAAGTACTTAAGTATCAAAAGTAAAAAGTAAATGTCAATGCATTGTTTTATGATTGTTGCGTTGTTGTATGTAATACGTACAGTATGCCTCTGAAACTATGCCTGCCTGCCTACCCTTATATCAATATCAAATGTATTTCTAGAACACAGTTCCAGTAGTGGAATGGGATTGAATGTGAGATTGAATAAATGCATTTCGACGGTGTGTTCTGACGTCAACCCGACTTTCATTTCCAACCAAAATGCAACCCGTGCAACCAAAATCATCCACTGACTGACGTTACTACTTTATACTCAAGGACCTTGACAGAAATGTAAAGGAGTAAAAAGTGCGATATTTGTCTTTCAAATGTAGTGAAGTTAAAGTAAAAAGTTTCCAGAAAAATTAACACTTAAGTAAAGTACAGATACTCAAGTAAATGTACGTCGTTACTGTCCACCTCTGCACACCAAGAACACAAGAGTTATTTTTGAGTCTAGTTAAGAGAAGTGCACTAGGCCTATTATGAAAACTTTTCTAAAGTTTAGTTTAGCTTTGCATTAAACACCTATCCAGTCCATAAAGGAGATTTAGCTAGAGTGGAGTGACTCAAATCCCTATTTTGTTCATTTCCAAATAGCCCTGGAAATTATTTTAAATCTAATACATTTTCATTAAAAAAATCAAAAAAACATCCAATGTTAAATGTATATTTCTGATGCCTTTGCATTTTATTTATTTTGATGTAGTTAGTTACTATTGCATATCTATCTATAAATTACAGGAACGTCTGTCTGTCTGCGTCTGACTATCTGTCTGTCTGCGTCTGACTATCTGTCTGTCTGTTAATCGAATATCTCTCGAACCGTTAGTCCGATGGATTTCAAACTTGACTGGTGTCTTGCTACGGGCACGAGTAAGTGCAGTGCAGTTTTACATTGTTTGGATTAGCAATCCAAAAGATATCGTTAAATATATCTGTAAAAGAAGCATACATTGAAGTTGTGGTTTAAAAATAAACATTCTGTCAGCTAAACATTAAGTCAGCTACACTGTTTACTTCTGAAGTAAAAAAGTAGCGATTCTTTTCGAGAAATGTAGCGATTCTTTTCAAGGCTGTTATTAAACATTTATTACAATGTAATTATACGTTTATTACAATGTAATTATACACTTATTACAGTGTTATTGTACATTACAATGTAATTACACATTTAATACAATGTAATTATACGTTTATTACAGTGTTATACATTTGTAACTATTATTATTATACATTTGTTACATTATTATTTTGTTACATTATTCTTTTTGAAAAAAGTAGTGGTTTTTTAAAAAGTAGCGATTCTTTTTGAAAAAAGTAGCGATTTTTGAAAAAAGTAGTGTAAAAAATGTAATTATACATTTGTTAGTCTTATTATATATTTAATACAATTTAATTATACATTTAATACAATGTAATTATATATTTATTAAAATGTAATTATATGTTTATGACAATGTAACTATGAAAAACTATGTATAGAACTATGAAAAAGTAGTGATTCTTTTTGAAAAAGTATCGATTAATTTTTTTTAAAGTAGCGATTAATTTTTTAAAAAGTAGCGATTTTTTTTTTTTAAGTATCGATTTACTTTCGAAAAAGTAGCGATTCTTTTTTAAAAAGTAGCGATTCATTTTCAAAAAAGTAGCGATTCTTTTTGAAAAAGTAGCGATTCTTTTTTTTTAAAGTAGCGATTCACTTGAAAAAGTAGTAATTCATTTTTGAAAAAGTAGCAATTAACTTTCGAAAAAGTATAAATTCTTTTTTTAAAAAAGTATCGATTCATTTTTTAAAAAGTAGCGATTCTTTTTAAAAAAAAGTAGTGTAAAAAATGTAATTATACATTTGTTACAGTCTTATTATATATTTAATACAATATAATTATACATTTAATACAATGTAATTATATATTTATTAAAATGTAATTATATGTTTATGACAATGTAACTATGAAAAACTATGTATAGAACAGTAGCGAATCTTTTTGAAGTATCGATTCTTTTTTGAAAAAGTAGCGATTCATTTTTGAAAAAGTAGCGATTCACTATTTTAGAAAAAATAGCGATTCACTTTTGAAAAAGTAGTGATTAATTTTTGAAAAAGTATCGATTCACTTTTGAAAAAGTATCGATTCACTTTTTGAAAAAGTATCGATTCTTTTTTGAAAAAGTAGCGATTCTTTTCTGAAAAAGTAGCGATTCTTTTTTTTTAAAAAGTAGCGATTCTTTTTGGAATATATTTTGGAATACAAAATACATTTATTACAATGTAATTATACGTTTATTACAATGTAATTATACGTTTATTACAGTGTTATTATACGTTTATTACAATGTAATTATACATTACAGTGTTATACGTTTATTACAATGTAATTATACGTTTATTACAGTTATTATACATTTGTTACATTATTCTTTTTGAAAAAAGTAGCGATTCTTTTTGAAAAAGTAGCGACTCTTTGAAAAAAGTAGCGATTCTTTTTGAAAAAAGTAGTGTAAAAAATGTAATTATACTTTTGTTACAGTCTTATCATACATTTATTACAATGTAATTATATGTTTATTACAATGTAATTATACATTTATTACAGTGTTATTATACATTTTTTACAATGTAATTATAAGTTTATAACAATGTAATTATACATTTATTAGTGTTATTATTATACATTTGTTACATTATTATTTTGTTACATTATTCTTTTTGAAAAAAGTAGCGATTCTTTTTGAAATAGTGATTTCTTTAAAGTAGCGATTTTTGAAAAAGCAGCAATTTTTTTTAAATAGCGATTCTTTTTTTAAAAAGTAGCAATTCTTTTTGAATAGTGTAAAACATTTAATTATACATTAGTGTTATTATACGTTTAGTACAACGTAATTATAGTGTTATTATACATTTATTACAGTGTTATTATACGTTTATTACAATGTAATTATACGTTTATTAGTGTTATTATACATTTATTACAATGCAATTATACATTTATTACAGTGTTATTATACATTTGTTACATTTTGTTACATTCTTTTTGAAAAAAGTAGCAATTCTTTTTTAAAAAGTAGCGATTCTTTTCTGAAAAAGTAGCGATTCTTTTTAAAAAAGTAGTGTAAAAAATTTAATTATACATTTGTTATTCTTATTATGCATTTATTACAATGTTATTATACATTTAACAAAATGTTATATGTTTATTACAATGTAATTATATGTTTATGACAATGTAACTGAAAAACTATGCATAGAACTATTGAAGGGTTGGTCAAAATCCCTTGCCTCTTCAAATACATATATAATCATATATCATTTTGAATGGTTATATACTTCCTTTATAAAAATCAATAATCAAATATATTCATTATCACATAATAATTTTTATATTCTTTGTGCCTGTGAAATTATATTTTCTTAAATGCATGGATGCAAGTAACCAGTTTCTTTTAGGTGCATTCCAATCTTACTTTGAGATTGCACGTAGTACACGCAGGACACGAAGGCCACGTAACCCACAAGGCCGTTTGTCTCTTTCTCTGGGATCAGTAGAAAGGTTAGAGGGTCCTAAAGGCAGCGTGGGCACATATGATTCTTCGCTGGACATATAGTCAAGCTATATTGAGCGTTACTATCAAACTTTAATTGTTGTATTAAAATGTATTCTTTCCAGTATATTTCCTTCCTTGGGAGTAAATGCCAGTGATCTGTTTTTCTCCCAAACGAGTGAATGTTTTAGCATTATGTTTTGGTATACTTAACTGATAATAAGGAGCTCAGACTCTCTTCAGCCTTGATGGGAGCTGTTATTTGCTAGTGTCTGTTATTTGTGTGTGTGTGCGTATGACATTCTATGTAGGTTCTGGACGGTCGGACCAGACACCCCG